CTGTTGAATGGAAACAGCTGTTCATGATTGCCCGGCTGGGACGGATTGGGTTGATTTACCGTTATGTTTTGAAGGCGAAGCGCCCTGATGAGAACGAATATGAATCTGTGTATCGCAGTAAATACTAACGAACTGTGGGCATCGCCGAGCCTGAGAGAACGCAGGAGGAGAAAGAAGAAGACGATGACGAAGAAGCATTATATGGTCTCATAGATGAGCATTTGGGTCGAACGAACTAACTTTTGGAAAATACAAGGGCACACCGATCGAAGAAGTATATGCTTATGATCCCAGATATTGTCGATGGATGCACAACCAACCCAGTCTCAATATTACTGAGGATATCAAGATTTTCCTTCACTTCAAGTTTCTTAGCAATGATAATTCGTATATGATGAGTTGGGGCAAGTACAAGGGGAAGACGCTAAAGCAAATTAGTCGCACCGATTCTAATTATATCAATTGGCTTCGTAAGAACCCATTCGTAATTGAGAAATGCCCTAAACTGCTCAACGAACTTAATTAAGCGACAAAAAAAATGTTTTTTTGCCTATGACAGAAATTACTAAACACATTCTAACTAAGCCGTGGTAAAATCTAAAACCTCTCCCGTTAGACGATCGTAGGAGAGCTCTTGTTCGCTCACAACCAAAACAAGCATGTTTGTTCCCTGGCAACCAGCGTTTGTACCCTGGATCTGAATAGCCTGAGGTACATCACGCTCCGTCAGGCGGCTAACGTCAGCGATAAGGATGCGGTTAGTTAGAGACCACGTCTGATAGTCAAGCAGTCCATTCAGAAGCTCAGGGGTCAGATCACCATTAATCGCAGCAATTTTAGCGAACTCGTTTGTGAATTGGTGGAAATCGTAGTCATGACTAATGTCGAAGCATTGAGTCGAACCGATACGGACATTGAAGTTGCGAATGCTCGAACCAGGCTGAAGTGTCCAAGGAACCGTATCAAACGGACTCTGAAACTGTTGAGTCATCCACGTCATCTCCATAGTCGTCATCAGCATTCCCATCGTCATCAATCTCCATCGAAAGGCCAGGCGAAGACACGCTTGATACATCAGTCGTGGGAACAGTCGGAGCCGACTTC